AATTCATTGCCTTTGCCCAAGAAATCTTTCCAGCTTCCTTCTCTGTCAAGACCACACCCAGCTTGAGTTAACCAAGCCACGAATCAGGAGATCGTCGATGAACTAGGTGTTCACCTCCCATCTCCCGTCAGCCTCTGCACCCCAGCCATCCCGCTCTGACCTTGCCCACAACGTGCTGTGCTTCCGTTCAGCCCCACAGCCCTCTGGCCTGGACTCTCTGAAGTTTCCCTCCTCTTCCCTGTGTTCAGCAAACCCTGCATAGCACCAGATTAATCTTTGTGGGGGACAGAACACATCCACGTAAACACATTCTAAGACCCTCTGTTGCCTGTTAAGTCCAAATTCTCAGGCTCAGAGGTATTCAGAAAAATATAACATTGGCCACATATGTAAGTTTACATTTATGTGATGAATTCAAGAAATCCTTGAACATATAATCAATATTAAAAAGTATGAGTGACACAGTTTTTGTTGTTTTTGTGTATGCTGTCTTCAACATCTGGTGAACATATAATCAATATTAAAAAGTATGAGTGACACAGTTTTTGTTGTTTTTGTGTGTGCTGTCTTCAACATCTGGTGTCTGTTTTATGTCACAACACATCTCTGGATCAACTCAATTTCAAGTACTCAGTAGCAACATGCAGCTACCAAAGTGGACAGGGCCACTCTGGCCTCTGAGCCCCAACCCCCTACCCAGGTCTCTCCACCTCCTCCCCAGCCTCATCCCTGTCCCCCACCACCTGTTCCTTGCACCCCAGCTGATCTTACCAATTTGTAGTACCCCAAACACACCATGCGAGCTCATGCCTAGTTCACTGAAAGGTGGTGTGCAGGCTTGAACTGGCTCTCAAGAACCCATTGAGCACATTTCTTCCCCATTCCCTGTTCAGAGATGCCATACTGGCAGTTTGCAGTCAGCTGCAGCGGAAGAATTTACACTACCAAAATTACGTAAAATCAGTATTTTTGACTTTTTGTGGGAGGGGAGATGAGTAATTAGACATTAACAGCATTAATGCACTGCACATAATGCAACTCCTCTGTAAAGTTCTTCTCCCACCCCTACTCTCTAGATAAACTCAGCCACCCAGTTACATGTGTACATTTGCCCTGAGAAAGCTGAGTCTATGTTTCTGTACCCAATGCCTGCTATGTGGTAGAGCTCCTCCTTCCTCCTCTGTTTTTTCTATTTTTCCCTTCAAAGTCCTAGTGTTGTTATTATTGTATATAAAGAATGGACATTTAAAATATAAGCTGAAGCAGGCTTTGGCAGAGCAGTTAAGACAGTGCTTGGGGTGCCCATGTCCCCTATTGGAGTGCCTAGCTTTAAGTCTTGGCTCTGCTTTCAATTCCAGCTTTCTGCTAATGTTCACCCTGGGAGGTAGAAGCAGATGGATCAAGTATTTGGGCCCAAGCCACCTCCATGAGAGACCCAGATGGAGTTCCAGGCTCCTAGCTTCAGCCTAGCCCAGCCCCAGCTGTTACAAGCTTTTGGGGAGTGAACCAGCAGATGGAACATCTGTCTCACTGTCTCTGTGTCTGTCTGTCTCTCTGTCTTTCAAAGAAATAAAAATTAACACACATTTCTTCAATATATGTATCTCAAAAGTAAAATCTACCTGGATATGAATCTTGCTTCCTCTCCTCACTGGCATTGTAGCCTCTGCAAGATACTTAACTGTAATGAAAATTAGTTTAAAAACACATTCACCCAGGGCCTGTGCTGTGGCGTAGCAGGTAAAGACACGGCCTGCAACACTGGCATTCCATTTGGGCACTGGTTCAATTCCTGACTGCTCCTCTTCCAATCCAGCTCCTTGCTCAGAAGCCTGGGACAGCAGTAGAAGATGGCCCAAGTACCTGAGCCCCTGCACCCACATGGAAGACCCAGAAGAAGCCCCTGGCTCCTGGCTTTGGACTGGTCTATTTCCAGTTCTTGTGACCTTTTCAGTAGTGAACCACTGAATGAAAGATCTTGTTCTCTGTTCTCTCCTTTCTCTCTCTCTCTCTCTCTCTTCCATTCAAATAAATATATCTTTAAAAAAAATCACAGCAGAAATAGTATGAGGATTACATCATATAAATTGTTTAGTCCAGAGCCTGCACACACTAGACACTCAAAAATGTTTAGGTGTTATTAAGTGTTTAAACATTTGTCACTTGTACAAAGTAGTTACCCAAAACCATTTTGTTGAAATGTACATTGAATGAAATTTCAGAAATTCCTTGAGTCCAATTCAAAGGGTATATGAGTCAGAATTCCAGCTGGATACAGATGGCACATACACTCAACGGGCTGACTAAGAAGAGCCTATTAAAGACTACTTACAAAGTCTGGGCAGGGCTGAGGGAACCCCATAGTTGGAAGCAATCTATGAGCACCTCTAAGCCTAAAAATGCAAGGACAGGGGGCACTTAGCTGAGCCCAGGGAGAACTGTAGCCCAGGGAAAGGTCAATCCGTAGGAGCTGCCACCTTCCACACAGGAAACCAGCAGCTGTCAGACTACCAAGGGGGCCCACCTGGTGTTCCATCAGCTCTCTGGAACATCCGCCCAGGCTCCCCATTGTCCCAACCCAACTGCAAGCCTGAGGACAAGAGGCCCTGGTACAGTCCCTGCACTTGGGTGGTGACCGGGTGGAGACAGTGGCCGTGGTGGCCCAAATTGAGACTCACAAGCACAGAGACTCTTCATATAGGATTGAACCTCCCTCGGCCTACAGGATACAGGATCCAGTCTCGCTTCCACACCAAGGATAACCATAGGCATTGTTTCTCTTGTTTCAGCCTTGAAGAAAACAAACACTAAGCATTTATAGAGGCTGCTTGGTTACCTTATCCACAAGTGCGCTTCCTCAAATACAAGGAAATTGGTTTTACTCTACAAACTGTCTACTTGCTTGGCATCTAGCCATCCTTTAAGGTAGGCAGCTCTTCCCAATGCACTACAACAGAAATACTTTGTGTCTGAAACGGTTCTTTACAGAACTGGAAAAGAACTGAGATAGATTAGATAAATGATAGATAGCTATCCTTAATTATATTTTAGATATATAGATAAGGATATGTATGTGTATAAACACACAGAGAGACCCTTATTATATTACTCATATAGCATTTTTGCCTTTACCATTGATCATCATGAGTCTTTTCATTTTTCCCCTGTGGTACCCTTTTCAACCCACCATCATTCTGCAAAAATGGCCTATCAAATACCCTCCTGATGGCCGAAGACTCGTTAAAATGTTGGTATGATTATCTTTGCTTCTTGTGTAGGCCCAGAGAAAGATTTGTTGTTTTCTTGGAAAGGTGTGGAAGGAGGCTATAATCATTTCATGGTTCTGTTCTGCAAGTTCTCCAGCTTCTCCACAAATCCCTCATGCTGGAGGGGATGGCTATAGCCAGGAGATCAATTTCACTGCCCTCCTTGTCTCCAGTGTGTTGGTCCCAGTCTCCCTCTATCCCCATTAGCAATTTCTAGAAGCAAGGGCTGAAGCCCATTCCACAGCAAATGGGGGAGGGGGGTTGGCGCAGGCAGGCTACATACAAGGAATCCAGATCCAAGCACATTTTGACTCTTCGAGTACAATGTCAGCCCCAGAAGGCAGGGCCACATCTCTCTCCTCACCCACTGTCTGAAGTGCAGGTGCTCAGTACTTTGGGAGCATGAACAAATGAATAAAGGCACACAATGCATCAAACACCTGAAGGCACTGGAGAGCTTCTTTCTCACAGGAGACAACTGAGAGTACTGTATTATTTCAAATAATCACAGTGGACAGGTCTGGTACACGCCACTGCTTCCCATCCAACATGATGGCTCCTTCATCAAGCCATTTTGCTTCACCTTTGCCATGCCCTTGCCCGAGACTGGACCCACATGGGCTGCCATGAGCAAGAGCCCCTCTCCCCACCATCGATGAACTCACCTGTATTCCTGTGTCTCTAACATTGATCTTGGCCCAGAAAATTTCCCCTTCTGATCCGAAGGTCTGCAGCCACTTGGAGGACTGAGTGTGCTTCTGAAGCTTCTCTTAGAGTAACTATGGTTGGGATCTAAGAAACCATGTCTGCCCCAGAGCCACCACCTGCTAGTGTTGGTCTCCATGGCCTAGGGGACTGCAGCTCCTAGGGCATCCATGGTCTGGGTGGATGCCTGTCCAGTCTGAAGCTGCCCCTGAACATCAAGGCCTCAGCTGTAAAGTGGTTCTCAGCTGAGTTTCCTTTTCCTCCCTCCAACCTGCCCCCATGAGCTCCTGGACACTCACAGTGTGAGAGCCCCTGGACACCCTGGCGTGAGAGCCCCAGAGGAGGGTGAGGCAGCCCTACCCCCTGTCATCCAGTTCCTCACTGTCTAGCTCTCCTGGCCTGCACTCAGAACTGACATGGTCTGGGCCCTCTGCTGCCCCTGCTTGCCCCAGCTGCCCTCTCTAGCAGAGATAGCTATGGAGTAAGCAAAGCCCTGCATGTAAAGTGTATTGCCTTCTTGCAAGCTCTCATCTCACTCATTTTTAGGGGTTAACTCTTATCAATGACTCCTGTGTGTTGGCTTTGGGATGATGTCACATTCAAGAACCCCAAGACAATATCCAAAATGTAATCTAAAAGGAATTCCATTCTGTAGTCAGGGCTCAAGCAAGTCATTATGGAGAATAAACATCGGTAGGAACTCCTAACATTGACTAAATACTAAATCCTTGTTCCTTTCCTGTCTCCTGTGCTCATCTGGCACCGGTGTGGCTGCCTCACATTCATGAAGAAGAACCTCTATTCCTCGCCTTGGGAGCTTCCTTGGTCCTCCAAGCCCATTCTCCTCCTCCCCCAGGAATTTGCTACGTAGCTTGCCCCAGCTTCGCAGCAATAAGAAAGCTTTCTTCTTTGTAAGAGGAGAGAAGGCAGGGGCTCAATTCAAGATTTCTCTTTAGGGACCCGGGAGAGAGGGAGAAGTGAATATCCCACCAAACAGTAACAACTCACCACCAGTTAGATGTTCTCCAGAATAGGTCTGGCCTCTTTATTTTATTAGTCACTAACTACATTTTCAACTGATGGTTGTGATGTTTAAAGTACCACATCAACACTCTCCACCCCAGCCTGGTACCCGATCCTGCTAGCTGGGCAGGCGGCTGCTCACCAACAAGGCTGTGGTGAGGCCGAGTGGGTGGACTTTGTGTGAAAGAGGCAGGAATGGCTGCAATGACTTCATGGCTCTGCCTTCTGTGCAAGGGCCCATTCATCCAACCATTCATTCATTCAGCCAATCAACCAAGATCTTCTGTGCATGCTTAGTCCAGGCCTCAGCTGAGAGGAATAAGCCTCAGTCCTCATCTGCAAGGTGCTCACCTGCAGTAGGGGAGATAATCATGTGACCACATTAGACACTACATAATTTGGTGGCGTTACAACACAGTAGCAAGAGACCATGGGGCCACTGGGACAATACAACTAACCTTGATATGGAATAGAGATGTGTCAACCAGAGGCGGCTTCCCAGAGGAGGTGATACTTGATCTGTATCAAAAAAGAAAAATGGGGGCAGGCATTTGAAGCATCCAATACCAAAGTGTCTGAGTTGGAGTCTTCACTCCACTTTCAATTCCAGCTTCCTGATGACAAGCACCCTGGGATGCACTGGTGGTGGCTCAAGTAGTTGGACTCCTGTGACCTGTATTGAGTTCCTGGCTCCTGGCTTTAGTTTGGCCCATCCCTGACTGCTGTAGGCATTAGGGGAAATAAACCAGTGGATGGAAGATCTCTCTCTTTCTCTTTCTCTCTCTCTCTTTTCCTCTCTCTTTCTCTCTCTCTCCTTCTCTCCCTTCCCTCTGCTGTCTTTCCAATAAATAAAATTTCACGTAAAGATAGAAGTCTTTCAGATAAAGAGCGGAGAATAGGTATTTCAGGAAGGAGTCACAGAATGGGCAGTGTCAGTTAATGTAAAGAAGGCGCTACCTGGGGGTAACGATGAAAATTCGGAAGAAGCTGGAGGTATGTGACCCAGATGCAAAAATGTGAAGGACCTTCAGAAACCTTCGAAGTGGAGAAAAAATTAAAAATTCAATCATCTACAATCACCTACATTTATTAAATATTACGTAAAGTAAGACATGGTGGAAATCCCCCTCTCCCTCCCAAAGCCACACCCCATCAAGGGAAGCACTGCTAACAGTGTGGTGAGTGCCTTTTCCTAAAGGAATGTAGGTATTTATATGTGTGCATATGTAAATCACATTTTAAAAAGAAAAACCCAAGGCTCCTATGTCTATTGACCACAACTTTAGTTTTTTTCAGTTCATAACACGTTTTTTCAAGTCCGTTTGTACAGCCCTCTTGTAATTTTTAACCAGCCAGGAGGAACCAGTGAAGGACTTCAAGCTTGGGAATGAGTGGATCAGGTGGTTTGCGTAGAGGCTGGGGGCGGGGCAGAAGAGGCCCTGGGCGGAGTCCACTCAGGGAGGAGAGGACGCGAACGCTGTGGAAGAGGACACAGGGTGAGGTTTGAAAATGGTTTCCCAGGCGGAGTCTGCAGGATTGTGACAGGGGACAGGGAGGTCGTGACAGTGGTGGGCGAAAGTTCATTTCGCTCTGGGCGACAGAAGCTGCTCAAAGCGGCTCCAGAAGAAACGTTTCAAGGGAGGATTCAGGAACCAAGTACAGCCAGAATGGCCTGGAGCCCAGGACCAGAAAGCTCTCTTTAGTAGAGACGGCTGGCCCTCGCCTCGCCTCCCCTCTGCAGGTCTGCTTGTCCCTGCAACCGGCGGCTCCACGCCGGAAGCTCTGCCTTAGATCAGGCCAACCTGGTGTACCTGCGATCAAGTTCTGGGGACGCCTGGCCAGCGTGTGTGCTCCGAATTTCCCGGTCATACAACACTGGTGGAAAACCTCTAGTCTGGGTCCCTGAGGCGCCATTTCCAGATTTCTGGGAGAGAGGATGTGATTGGCCCAGCCGGGTCTGGTGCTCACTCTAGTCCAGTCAGCTGTGACCGCAGTGGCCGGGTCTGGTGGTCACTCTGGTCCAGTCAGCTGGGACCGCAGTGGCCGGGTCTGGTGGTCACTCTGGTCCAGTCAGCTGGGACCGCAGCGGCAGAGCCCAGACACAATAAACATGGCGGGGGCCCAGCCTCAGTAGAGGAAGTGGAAGGGGAGGAGGGAGAGGGAGCAGGTGATTTTGTGGTACCCCACGGCACAGGCAAATCAGGTCTCCTGTTTCTCTCTTGCCCCCTGGCTTCCAGTGCCACTGGCGCGGGTCCCATCACTACCATCCCCGTGTGAAAGGGCCAAGGGAGGGAGTGACTTCGTCCCTCGCCCTCACTGGCGCGTGGCCTCCCTCCTCCACAGGACCCCGTGCCGCCTGCCCGTCCCCACGGCTCAGAGCCATTTAAGCAAATCCAGATGACAAGACGTGGGTCTCCCGGGAAATGGAAGCCAAAGCTGCGAAATATTGCAGCGGAACCGACTCCTGGTTTGTCATCAGAATGAGTAACTGCCAGTGAGTTGTGGTTTCATCCTCGTATTTCCATCCCGATTTGGGGGAGGAAGGGGCTGGGAAAGCGCTGACGGCAGGAATTTGGATCCGAGGGAAGCGGGTCGTTTGTTGTGTCTTCCCCCATATTTAGCTACCCGTTGTTAGGCAGTTCCGCCCACCCATCAAAAACTCCCGCAGTGGAGCGCTCCTCACCCCACGCAGGACGGCCCAGAAGGGGAACCTTGGCTACATTCAAAGCAACCTGAGGCCAGTCACATGCGAGTTCTGTTTCTCACTCCTCCGACTCAAAGTCCGATTCCTCCGCGGGCGTGGGGCTCCCTGGAACCCTCAAACCTCAAGATCAGCCCAGGAGTGGGTGTGAAACCAGAGCCGGCGTGGTCCGTCCTACCAAGTCCTGGCTCCTCTGTTACTATCTTAGTTCTCCACCACAGCCTCAGCAATGTTTGTGCTCTCTGCCTACTTGTAATAATAATTTATGGCTGTGTTTTCAAGAGAATGTTTTCCGTTTTGTTTTTACTTCCCTAGACAAGCTAAGGAGGTAGGCCAGGACGCAGGACTTGCTTGAGACTCGGAAGACTTTATATCAGGCCCCAGATCTGCCGAGGACTAGTGTTGTAGCCTTCAGTAAGTGACTTTGCTTCCTTCCCCCGGCTCCCATGGCTCGAGTTAGATTTCTATTACTGTATCCATCACATGCCCGCGGCCACCAGAAAGCTTCTGAACTTCAGGTTAGGCTTTTGCCTGTCTGGTAACAAGCGCTCTGCCTAAGACCAATAGCAAATGTCCCAACATATGAGAATTTAACATCTCAGTCTATGGGACAATTATATCAAACTGTAAATCTTAAGCAGGACAATTCATGTTATTTGTAAACAACAAAGGATGATAAAGCAGATCTTTTAGGTGATAGATAACTTTTCAAAAATATGTGATTCTAGGAGCCGGTGCTGTGGCATAGCAGGTAAAGCTGCCGCCTGCTGTGCTGGCATCCTGTTGGCGCAGGTTTGAGTCCCGGCTGCTCCACTTCCAGTCCAGCTCTCTGCTATGGCCTGGGAAAGCCATGGATGATGCCCCCCCTGCACCTGTGTGGGAGACTAGGAGGAGGCTCCTGGCAGCTTCAGATCAGCTCAGCAAGTTGCTGCCATCTGGGGAGTGAACCAGTGGGTGGAAGACCTCTCTCTCTCTCTGCCTTTGCCTCTCTGTAACTCTGCCTTTCAAATAAACAAATAAATCTTTTTAAAAATATGTGATTCTATTAAATTATTTTTACTTCATATTTGAAAAGTTTAAGGTAGGGGTCTTGGGGGAAAAGAAGATTTCTCACTCGCAAGATTTTATTGCTCACACACTCACTATTTCTACCATAAGCCTCTGTTCTCACCTGTGGTATTCTCATCCAGCTGGTTATATTGTTTAGTGATTGATATATTTGCTGTAAAGGATGATATTTTAAAATCAGGTTTTCTCGGCCTCTGCACTACAGACATCTGAAGTCAGATAATTTTTGTTGGGGGGGGGTGGTTCCTGTATATGTAGGATTTTAAAAGCACCTCCTGCCCTCTACCCACTAGAGCCCAGTAGCAGCCTCCCCTTGTAGCAACAGCCAAAGATGTCTCCAGACATGTCCAAGTGTCTCTTCCTTCCCTGTTGAAATTTTGACTTACACTTTTTTCCTTGCATCTCTGTTATGAATTTCCTCAATATTTTAAATGTATGAGCTTGGGTTGTTTTTTAAAAGATTTATTTTATTTAGTTGGAAAGTGAGTGACAGAGGAAGAAGGAGAGAAAGGGAGAGAAGAGATCTTCCATCTACTGGTTCACTTCCCCAATACCTATAATTACCAGGGCTTGACCAGGCTGAAGCCAGGAGCTAGGATCCAGGGTCTCCTACGCGAGTGGCAAGGACCCAAGCACTTGAGCCATCATCTGCTGCTTTCCTAAGTGCATTAACTGGAAGTTGGAGAGCAAGTGGACAAAGTGGGATTCAAACCAGCACTCTGCTATAAGATGCTGGTGTCATAGGCAGAAGCTTAACCTGCTAAGCCACAACAGTAGCCCTGCGTGTGGAATTCTGACGTGTTGCCAAATAAGACAGCTCTGAGTTCTGCTGAAAGCACCCATCACTGACTTGGGTATGAAGACATGTCTGTCCTTCGATACATCTGATCACTAGAGAAAATCTCCTGGCTTGCCAAGGAAATTTCCCCTAGCCCAGTCATTCTAGCCAAAAATTTAAAGATCAATCTTAGAATTCCATTCACTGTTTCTTCCAAGAAGCAAGTGAGTGTGTTTCCCTGGGCTGGGGTGGCCTCCTTCACAGAGTTCCTGGGGTGATCACATAATCCAGGCTGCACTTTGAGCCTCACTGCCCTGGGGGAAACGTAGGTTTATAGCGTGTGTACAGCTGGGTTTAGTCACTTAGAATTTCCACCAAGCGCAAGTCTCTTCAAATGAACTCTACCTGCTTCCCTTATTACAGAGGTACCGTTACTCCTCACCACCCTGCCTTTTTCTGCATTGAGTGTCTTCAGAGACTTACCCCAAGGCACAGGGAATGATATAAGCTTTCTGTCCCCATGATGGGTGGAGCCAGTGTGACAGTCTTCTTGCTACTGTCAAGATGTCTTCTCTCCTACTAGTCTCTTGTTTGCCCTGCTTTAAACAGCACTGAAGCCTGTGGTTTTCCTGGCATGTTCTCCAAGGTGCAACAGCTGTTAATAGCCTCTACTTGTTTGCCTATGAATGTAGTTAAAGCTAAAATGACTGCATACAAATGCTGCTCAGTCTTCTGGATACCTGTGATACTGGCACTCACTTAATAAATGCCTCTCTACCTGCTAGAAAGGATGCTGTGCCATCAGTTCAAAATGACCCTAGGTACCATGCACACAGCTCCTATTTCTGCTTAAGAAACCACAGTCTTAGAGACAGCAAAGCATGGGACTCTCTGTCATCTATTGCAATGCACACATTGAATGCCCAGTATCTGGCACATAACACTTCTGCAGTTGCTTTTGGCAAGTAAGTCTGATAGCCCAAGACTGCTGTCTTTACAAAACAGTTGATATTCTAAAAATGAATTGACAGCTAAGAAGACAGGGGAGTAGATCATAGGATCCCATCTGAGGAGGAAATTTGGGCTGTTTAAAGTATCCTACACATTTCAAAACAATTTCTCTTCTCATTGACAACTACCACCACCACGTTAAGCACTTACTTAGTGCTTTATATATATTATCATATTGGAACTTCATGACAATTCCAGTGAGGTTTTATTGGGAAAAAAAGTCTTACTATCTCTATTTTGCAGATGAAGAAGCTGAAATCCAGAGATGTTATGTAAACTTGATCATGGACACACAGTTGTTTTGTAACAAACTTAGGAATCTGTCCAAAGTCCAAGAATGTGAGATAGCAGATGTCAGCATCCAGATCACGGATTTCTATGAAACACTGAAGCAGAGTGAAGCGCTTCTGGTCTAATTCCCACAACTATCGCATTAAGAAAAGAAGTCCTAAAAACATCTCCTGAAGCGGTATGAAAAATACAAGATAAACAGTTGTTAAGATCTGGATCTTAATCCCTACCTCACAACATTCTAGCTGAATGAACAGGGACAATTGATTTCTCATACTGAGCATAGGTTCCCTCACCTAAAATGGCATTATGGGGCTATTGTAATTATGTGTTGACTATGATGCTCTACAAAAATGTAGTTTGGCCATAAGTATTTCCCAAGAGTTTCATCACCAAATCATGGGAAGAACCTGGCTCTTCCCTGCTCAAGTAAAGTTGAGGCTGTCCAAAAGCTATGTTCTGTTTCCCATCTTATCAGCAATGACACATGGGGAATGAGTGTATCAGGCCATGGGCTCTAATAAGCTGACCACACTTAGAACATAGTAACCATAAGGAGAGTACAAACAGAATCAAGGGCTTGTCTCCAAGTGGCTGGCCAGCACCCAGGAGCTTGGGAATACTGGGTTAGCCTCAGACTGTGGCTGGAAGGAAAAGTCTCAGCTCCAAAGTTAGTTGCTTCCACAAAAGTAAACCAAAATGAGTCATGTGAGGATGGAGAAACCACCAGAGACAGCTTTCCATGTGAGGACCAAGATAAGGAATAAAAGCTGGAGAGAGAACTCTTAAGAACCTGGGTGGCTGATGTTTTCATCTGAGTGAGTCAATGTGCAAGATGTGTGGCAGAACATGTGATGTGAGTATGTGTGTTCATGCTCATTTGCAATGGAGGAAAATTTTGAGTATTTTTCTGCTTCCTCTTTGATTGGTTTGCCCACTGTTCCTTCACATAGTCTTAATAGACTAGAAATTTATACAATATTATTCTTAAAGAGTGAGCCTATATTAATTATATTAGTTAATATTACAAAATCGCTCTTTAAAAAGTTTAGACCAATTCAGTGTTTTTCTTGCAAACAGGGTATAAGAGGTTCTGTTTTCTTCACCAATGCCAATGTTTGGCAATATTATTATTTCTATTTTAATGTTAAAAGTAATACCTACATGTGATGAAATTAGTGTAATAAAGTACAGATAGTACTATAGTACCATTTAAATAGCATAGTACAGAACACTATGAGACGTCTCCTTCTCTCTTCAGTCCACTCCACTCCCTATTGTAGCCAACTTTAACCAATTCTGGTTTCACTTTTTTGGTAGTTAGCACAGAATATTAGGTAATATGTTTATACCACTGTTTTTATTTGTCAACTGTTGATAGTATCTATTGACTCCTGACATGTGAATGTAACCAGTGCATGGCCAACTGCTGTGTGCCCACAGTAGGTAAATGTTGGGAGTGAAGGAGGAGGGTGCTTCAAGCAGGCATCCTGATAGCTAACCCACTCTCCATTCTTACTTTCCTTTTCCCTTAACCTAGAGCTTAGCACTGTGTTAGTCAAGGTCCTCCCTAGACACAGAACCAATAGGTATATTGGAAAATAAGTAGTATAAGGAATTCTCTTATGATACCAAAGCTGAGAAGGTCCATGATCTTCCATCTGCAAGCTGGAGACCAGCAAAGCTGGTGGTGTCTCCAGTCCCCTGAGAACCAGGGGATCCAGTGCTGGAAATCCCAGTCCAACTCAAGAGGCAGGCAGGAAGCCAGAGGGGCGAGCTCTCCTTTCTGCACATTTTGTCCTACTCAAGTCCTCAACAGACTGGATCCCACTCACTCACCCACATTCAGGAAAACAATCCACTTTACTGAATCCATTGCATCAATTCTAATTTCATGTAGAAACCCCACACAGACACAACCAGAGATAGTGTTTGAACCAGGTCCCTCTTGCAGAGGTCTGGTTGATTCACATTAGCCATCACAGTGCTCTCCAATGCCCTTGGGGAGCTAGCTCCCCTTCCCAGAAAGGTGGCTCTCTTCCCATTCAGCATTCTCCCCTCACTCAGACCCTACTTATCCCTGTGTGGTTTATTTGGCAACACAATACTATTTGTTTTCTATCTTCCAAACCCCACCTGCTGCACTCTGTACCACTGTGGATTTTGTACATCTTACTGCCATTTCAGTGGGCTTTTTAGTGGGAGAGAAGGAAATATGTGGACCCACTTCATTCTCTGGATTAGAATTCCCAAATGGTACTGTTAAACATTTTAAACTTTGGGAGCAAAAACTTCATGTCTCGTTTTTACCCTGCCTTTCTGTAATTATTAGTGAGGCTGAGTTTGTCATATTTGGTTAGCCATCCAAATTTCTCCTTCTGTGGACTGCCTGCTTATAGAATGAATGATTCTACATGCCAGGCAAGTCCAAAAGGGATTTTACTGCAGCTCTTGGCACAGACATCTTAAGTTGCAGAGGTACCTGGGAATTTTTTTTTTTTTTTTTTTTTGAACAGGCAGAGTGGACAGTGAGAGAGAGAGACAGAGAGAAAGGTCTTCCTTTGCCGTTGGTTCACCCTCCAATGGCCGCCGCGGCCAGCACGCTGTAGCCGGTGCACCACGCTGATCCAATGGCAGGAGCCAGGTGCTTATCCTGGTTTCCCATGGGGTGCAGGGCCCAAGCACTTGGGCCATCCTCCACTGCACTCCCTGGCCACAGCAGAGAGCTGGCCTGGAAGAGGGGCAACCGGGACAGAATCCGGCGCCCCGACCGGGACTAGAACCCGGTGTGCCAGTGCCGCACGGCCTTGTGAACTTTTAATTTCTGTGAGCAGTGACTCTAATTCTTCTGTGAGTTATTAACCTGCGAAGTAAAAAAATTAAAAAAAAAGAACTGTTGAGAAAGTAAGAGAACATGCTCCCCGCTCTGATAGTCTCTCCTTAAGTCACGTGTCCATCCTGCCACCCACCTGACTTCTGACCCCCACACATTTCTCTGCCTTCAGAGTTGTCCAGTGTGGAACTTATGATGGGAGCCACCTCCGCTCGCCCATAGAAATCCTTCAGGACGTGCCAGGCTAGTACCCCTTCCTGAGGCACGTGAATGTGACACGAAAGGCCCAGAGTTGTACCAAGTCCCAAAGCTGGTGCTCACAGGGACAGGCAACCGAAACCCACTTTGCTACTAACCTAGTGTAAGGAGTTAAATGGTGCTTAAAAGACTCCACTTTGACAAGTTTTTCAGATTTTCCTCTCTTGGAGCCCCACGCCTGATGCTGTGGCAGGAGGTTTCTGACTTAAATAACTCTTGCTATGCTCTCTGTCTGCCGTGGAAATTCTTCTAGGTGAGACATGAACTGAGGTCACCTTCGTCACTGTGTCCCCATAACACTAGCACCCCCTTTGCAGCTCAGAATCATGCTCATGGTGGCTTATGTCAGCAGCTTGAGGACACCTTGGACAAATCTCTTTTGCCAGCCATTGCTGAAAATTAGCCCTTGGGGAAATGAAAGCCATGATGCTGGAAAACTTCAAGTCATATGTGTGCGTCTTGGAGGCTTATTTTAAGGAAGACAAGGAAATTTAATGCACTCATGCAATGAAGTAGGCAGAGCTGGGGATTCGGGAGCCACATCCTCCATCTCAGCCCGGCCAGGACGCCAGGGACGTGACTCTGTGGCAGAAAGCTTGTGCAGCCGGGGCTTGGGAGGGCCTCTTCCTGCACTTGCCTAATGCACTCACAGTCTTGTGGAATCTAGGAGGGAGGAGGAGGAGGAAGGGGAATGGTGGTGGCCTTTAATGAAGAAGGAGAGGTGCTTGGGAAGCCACAAATTTGATCTTCAACCAACTCGTCACAGGAAGAAATGCTACCTATGGAAACTCAGAATGCAACCCAAACAGGAAAAGCCCAGTAAGATCACAGATTCTTGGAAGTTGGGGTGGGGGTTGGGGGGAGGGCTCTTTTGCTACCCTCAAGGCCAAGGCCCATAGTAGGTATCTGTATTAGTTTGCTAGGGGCTGCCCCAGACTGGGTGGCACAAACAATAGACATTTTTTTCTCAGTTTCTGGGGGTCCAAGTTCAAGGTGTTGCCCAGGTTGGGTTCTGGTGGGGACTTCCTGGCTCGCAGAGGCCACCTTCTCGGCATGTCCTCACATGACCTTTCCTTTCTCTGCGTGCAGAGACAGCTCTGATGCCCCTTCCTCTTCTTGCAAGGATACCAGGCCTTTCAGAGGAGGGCCCCACCCTATGACCTCACTGAAATTTAATTATCTCCTCGAAACTCCCGTTTCCAAATATGGTTACCTCGGGGATTAGAGTGGCAACATGTGGATTTGGGAATGACGTAATGCAGTCCACACTGGTACTGAATAAGTGCCTAAGGTCAATTAACTAGTTATTACCCTGACTGCTTTCTAGCATATACAGGAGCACTAATTTTTAAGTCACACTGTGGAGGAATGTGGCTTAAGACTCTTTCTTGTCCTTCTTACTCCTTCCTCAAAGTGGATGTCGTTGCTAATATGATTGCACTAACAGGGTCACAAAGGGTGCCAGGGACTCACTTCCCATTACTCAACCAATATCCATACGTCCATGACCAGCCACCACCCCATCCTCACCTTGTTGTGGGTTAGGCTGGGCCTAAAATAATATTCTGGGTTTTTGTCTTTTACTTAGAGAATAATTCTGAGTACCGGCACAAACAGCATGCAGCCTGATAAGGCTTATTTACAAAGTGAGGATACACGGGCACACGAGGGCTTCATTTAGGGGTAGTGGACCAGGAAAGGTGAGAGGGGACTTTTATACTCTGCTCACAGACCACTGAGGGACATTGGCAACGTACAGGCCATCCCCACTCAGTGAGACATGAGGGCACTACAGACGGTTGTGGGAGATGGAATTAAAGGATATGTGAAAAAGTTCATGGAAAATGCATATTATGGAGAAACTGCACATGGATTTCAAACATGTTTTGCACCAAAATAAACATATTTTATAGCTCCAGTTTCCATGAACTTGTTGAAGTCCACTCATAGGCGCCGTGAGAGGAGGGGCCTACCAGGTAAGAGAGCACCGAAGCAGCTTCTTCCATCTCTGAAGGAATGAGAAGGCTTCCCCAGGAAGAAGAAGGTTCTCAGTCCTGATGCGGGAGTCAGACACCCGGAGGAAGAGGGGGGCAAGAGGCATGCCACACCAGGCAGCAGGGCTTTCTAGCTCCAAAAGAGCAGAACAAGGGTGGCCCCTTTGCAGCCCTCTGTGTGGCTGGGTGTGCTTTGAGGTAGAGTATCAAAGTGGCAGGTTGGGAGAAAGGCAGAGAATGAGGGGCCAGCATTTTGGCATAGTGAGTAAAACCACTGCCTCCAGTGCCAGCATCCCATATAGGTGCCAGTTCAAGTCCCAGCTGCTCCATTTCCAATCCAGCTCCCTGCTAATGTGCTTAGAAAAGCAGAGGAGGATGGCCCAAGTCCTTGGGCCTCAGTACCTACGTGGAGACTCAGATGTAGCTCCTGACTCCTGGTTTCAGCCTGGCCCAGCCCTGGCCATTGCTACCATTTGGGGAGTGAATCAGCAGATATGGAAGATCTCTCTCTCTCCCTCCCTCTCTCTCTGTAACTTCGTCTTTCAAATAAATAAAATAAATATTAAAAAAAAAAGTGGAGGATGAGCCTGGACAGCAACCTGGGGGCCAGATCCCAGGGGAGCATCTTTCAGGACTGTTAGGGAATCTGCATTTTTACACTAAGGGAAACAAACAGGTGGTCACTGAAGAACCAAAGTGACTCTATTTTAAAACAAACAAACAAAAAAAGCAGCCTCCGTTTCCCATAGCGGACACGAGTCCTTGTAAAAGTAGGCATTCAGGCATTCCCAAAATGTCAAAGCTTACCAGGGACAGCTAGCTCGGTAGACCAAGGACAGCACAGTAGAGATTGCTAAACAAAGTAACTCCCTGCGCCCAGAGCTCCTGTGCTGTATGTAACTCTTTTTTCCTGCTGATGTAGCCCTTTTTTCCTTTAAAAACTCTCCCAAACAAAGACCAGGGCCTCACTCCTTCCTCCGCTGTGCTGGTTGGTTGGTTGCTTGGTTGGATGGGGTCCCTGTCGCAGCTTGTACTCCTGAATAAACCTTGCTTTTGTAGTTTGGTGTGATCAACTCTCTGGGGGTCTCTGTGGGGATCTAACGATCTGGGCACAACACACTAAGGGTTGTAGGTGAGAGAGGCCCAGGGACTCACCGTCTAGATGAGTAAGAAAGCACTGGGGACCTGGGCCGAGGGGCTGGGACAGGAAGATACTGACATGATCCAAGAGACCAGACTTCAACTGGGAGCACGGGCAGTGGGGGTGGGGCAGGGGGTAAGAGCAAGAACTGTTGAAGAGGACTGGGCTGGGCTTGTGGTTGAGTGGGTACTGCCGGTATAGGCCGGAGCTTGGGCCCAGAGGTGAGGACAGCACCATTCACCTGGGTGGGCCTGGGTGGGAAGAAGAGTGAACACACTGTTGGGGTGTGCTTAGTCTAGGGGCCTACAAATCTCCAGCAGAGAAGTTTGGGTTCCAGGGTCAAGGACTCAGAGGAGAGGTCTGGCTTGGTGATACGGCTTGGAAGCCCCTGGCATAAAGGGGTGGTATTTGATAGCATGGAAGCATGTAGGGTCACCTGTGGGAGGAGGCAGAAGTCTGATGTCATTTGACAGTTGAGGAAACTGAGGCTGGTCCAAGCTCTCACCGCTGGTGCACAGCAGAGCTGGCTGGGGCTAGGCCTTCCGACTCCATGCCCTGCATCCTCCCTCCATTTCCAAAGCTGGAAATGAGCCTGGGCTGCACCTGGGAGCCAGCAGGTTTTAGCTCTGTAGTTCCTTTGCTTTCCCTGAAGGAAACAACAGCCCTAGGTAGGTAAAAGCCTGGGCAGGTTACTCTCAGGAGGCTGGGGTCCAAACACCCACCTGGAAGATAGGCTGGCATGGGGTAGGCAGAAAATGCACACGTTTGCCGGCATACTCACCCTCTCTTCTCATCCTTGTGGCTGCCCTGCAGGGCGTCCCACACTGCCCTGCCTCCTTCCCCAGACTCTGCCTGCGTCAGGCCCTTTGCATACCTCCCCTCTTTGTGAAATATGTCTCAGGCCCATTCTGTCTCCATTCTAGAATCGTAGTTCTCTCGTCGACCATGTGACAAAGCAACTCCTGCTAAGATGGGGACTGATTGGTCAGTGAGAATTCCATCCCATGGTGCCCTCTGCTTCTAACCAGAATTCCTGGAGACGTGTAAGTAGCATCGCTGAAGGCGCAAATATCGAGCAGTTTTGTTGCTCATTGAGGAAAGCATAGGCGTATAAGCAGGAGAGGAAGCAAAGGAGAAAGCTGGGGGCCAGATCGCCACGGGTGCGTTTCGTATCGCGTTAAGCTGTTTGGATTTCAGTTTGCTCAACATGGTGAGGCTGGGGCTGCTGGCTCACACACCCTGCTTGTTCTGACAACTGACGAGAACCTGGAAGAACCACCGGTATGCCCTTGGCTGCCGGGCCAGGACGGAAACCCACTCTGAAAGCATGTTTACCCAGGCGCAAGTTGCAAACTCCTTTGGGTGAGGGAGGGGTTCTCTCCCTTGGCAAAATGTAATTTGCTATTTCCAAGTTAATAAAAAGAGAGGGGAAAAAAGCTGACAAACAACAAGTAAAAAGTCCTCTAAAGGAAGTACAAACTTGGACAGAGTGAAGAACATTTGCAAAAGAGCCTGTCCCGCTGTCTGGTTCCAGCCTGGCCAGAGTGAAGCCACAGTGACCCCAGGGTCATGGCAGGAGGAGGCTGCTGGGGTTTGGGTTTGGAGGAGGCGTGGGGCAGCAGTGTCTCCCAAGGGCTGAAGCATGCTGCCCGCCCCTCTCCTGGAACCCTGGGGACACTGCTGGACCGCAGACGGTGGTGCAATATCAGCCCCGTTCCTGCGCTGCAGATGGCAGAGGCCAGCGCCGTGGGGTTGAGGGAAATGGAGTTCGTGTACGCACAAGCTCTGCTTTAGGAGTGGAATCATCAAGGCGTCCAGCTTCACTCCCACCAGTCGGTGCCTGAATTCCCTCAGCAAACATTCTCGCCAAGCGGGCGGCGTGAGGCCAGGGCTTGAATAACCCCTGTGACAAAAGGGAGCCTTTTGTGTATTTGGACAGTTCTGCCTGGAAGGGAGCTCTTACTGAGCTCAAACGCCCTCGTTACTGCAAGCGCTCCGCGGGGGGTGATCCTTTGTCCATGGAATACATCTCTGCCCAATCCAGGTGTTCAGACCCCAGCTCTGCTACAGTGTGGATGGGCCGCCCTGGAACTCCAAGCACAAGCAAGAGGGTACATTTTAAACTCAGTCACGTCAATAGTCACATCAAATGTAAGTACTTTAAACATCCCGATTAAAAGGCAGAGATTGTCAGATTGGATTAAAATTTTTGAAAAAGCAAAATACAACTAAATACTGCCTCCAAGAACCCAATGTATGTAAAAGACACGAGTAAATGAAAAGGTAAAGGATATAGAGTAATCAGAAGATGGCTAGAGTGGCTATATCAACATCAGAAAAAGCAGATGCTATTGCATAGAATATAACCAGAGATGAAGAGAATATTTGATTTGATTATAAAGGTGTTGAATTATCAGAAGGATACAGGAATGGTAAGTGTCAATTTCCCTAACTGACCCTCAAAGTAAATGAAACAAATGTGGATAAAATTACAAGAAGAAATTGAAAAATCCACAATTATAATCAGACATGTCAACACCTCCCTCTTTGTAGATGATAGAAGTAGAAGCAAATATGGGGGCCAGCCCTGTGGTATAGCGGGTAAAGCTGCTGCCTGCAGTGCCAGCCTCCCATACGAGGGCCAGTTCGAGTCTCCCAAGTCCTTGGGCCCTGCAGCCATGTGGGAAGACCTGGAGGAGGCTCCTGGCTTCTGGTCTTCGTATTGGTACAGCTTTGGCCACTGTGGTCAACTGGGGAGTGAACCAGCAGATGAAAGACCTCTCTCTCTCTCTCTGCCTCTCCTTCCCTCTCTATGTAACTCTGCCTTTCAAATAAATAAATAAATCTTTAAAAAAAAAAGAAGAAAGCAAATATGTAGAAATATTGAGAGCCTGTTTGGAGGTTCTAGCAGGGGAGCGCAGCTACTCATATACCCTTGACAGGGTATATACTTGACAGGGTATATGAGTAGCTCTCTAGCTACTTCCTCTAGCGGGGTAGGTCGTCCTCTTCCACCGAGTGCGCAGCTTCGGGAGGGACGCACATGGAGCTGTGAGGGAGGAAGGGGACACCCGCCTAGCCAGCCAGATCAACCAAATCAACCCTGGCTATCAATGGGGTGACAGATGTCACAGCTAGATCGCCCTCACATCCAATAATAACTGGTGAGTATAAAACATAAAAAGGATAGTTAAAACATTGGCTCTACAAAATAACCTTTAAATTGTAATTGCTGCTGAAAATAGAATCCTCCTATACTTAAGGAAAACTGGTGCCATTACAAAATGAGACCTTGTGCCATAAATGCAGCTAAATATAAATATTAGTTCCCAAATTAATGCTAAGTAGGAAAACTTGTAGTAACCAGTGTCATTTCATTCTAAATTATGTAGTATGATCAAACATGATCATCTAGAATTTTTATATTTTTCTTTGTACAAAGGTTGTGTATTCTGGGTGTTTTTTAAAAGGGAAATATTTCAAATCCCACAAATTGACACTTTCTATATCAATCTTCAATGGACTAAGCTTTTTTTTTTTCTCAGTTATCTCTGAAATTTCTTTAAATTATAGACTTAACAGAGAAACTGGATTGCTTTTGTATATAAGACTGCTGCCATCTGAAATGCTGTCACAAATACTGGGGGGGGGGTTATCTTGTATATGATATTCTTACAGGTAATAATGCATGAGCTTATTTTATAAACTCTTGGACTATGTATTTGACATGTAAAATATGTACAGTATTAATGTCAACCATCTCTTAAAGTTAGCCTATAAATATTGTTGTATAATTTGGTCAGAAATATTTGGACTAAGTAGTACCACTTGGTTCAAGATTTTCTTCAGTGCCATTTAGCAAACCAACTGTCTTTAGTCTATGCAACTAGCAAGGAATTAATACAACAGAATACTTCATGGCTTCCACACTTGAAATTTCACAGGAGGGGTTCCTTCCCAACTTCTCTGGAACCCGGTCCAGCAAAATTAGAGGAAAGGCCCTAAGATTTATTTCTGTTAGGAAAAGCCAATGTTTCCAGGCTAAAGAGTTGAATCTACTAAAATTAACGAATAGTGTCTACTACCTCAGACCTGCAGAGTTTGCAGTGCTGGGACTGTCATCTGTGCTTATTTGTGGGGTAGTTGAATAAAATCGGGCAGCTGAAATTTTCAGTTCCATGTGCTTCCTAAATAAAACACAGAAGTAGTTACTGTGAATTGAGTTGCACACAAAGTAGGAACTGTCCTGCACGTATTTTTTGTAAACATGACATTTGCCAACGAGGTACATGCCATCCAATTTTCTGTGGGTCATACCATTGTATAAAGCAACAGAACTGAAGGGGAGAAACAATCTTTGTACACACTGAATTGCTTTGCATGGTCTCTTGAGATAATTGGTGTAAGAATATTGACTTTTTTTATATTTGGAAACATCAAATAAAAACAGAAATGATAAAAAAAAAAAGAAATATTGACAACTTGAATGACACTGTCAACCAATTTGATCCAGTTGACATTCAGAGAACATTCCACCAGAACAGCAACAACAGTGGCAAACCAGAATACACATTACTTTCAAGGGAACGTAGAACATTTTCAGAGACAGATCATATTCTGGGCCAGAACACAAGCCTCAATACATTTAAAAGGATTTCAGTCATATAAAATATGTTCTCTGATTAAAATGTAATTAAATTAGACATCAATAGTAACATCAAAAAGCTCTCTGGAAAATTCCTCAAATATTTGGAAACTAAATTTTAAACTTATAAATAACCCTTAGAGCAAAAAAGAAATCACAAAGGAAATTAGAATGCATTTTGAAATGAATAATAATGAAAATACAACATGTATGGGATGAGGTGCACAGAGTATACAGAGAGAAATTTATAGCACTAAATGCTCATATTAGAAAAGAAAAGGGGCCGGCACTGTGGCACAGCAGGTAAGCCACCCTCTTCAGCTCCAGCATCCCATTTGGGCAATGGTTTGAATCCCAGCTGCTCCACTTCTGATCCAGCTCTCTGCTAATGCACCTGGGGAAGCAGTGGAGGATGGCCCAAGTCCTTGGGCCCCTGCACCCACATGGGAAAACCAGAAGAAGTTCCTGACTCCTAGCTTCAGCCAGGCCCAACCCCAGCTGTTGTGTCCATTTGGGGACTGAACCAGAGGATAGAAGATCTCTCTCTCTCTCTCTCTCTCTCTCTCTCTCCCCCCCTCTCTCTCTCTCTGTAACTCTGACATTCAAATAAATAAAAGAAATCTTTAAATTAAAGGAAAAAGATCTCAAGTCATGAACTTTGGCTTTGATCCTCACTAGGCTAATCCTCCGCCTGCCACGCCGGCACCCCGGGTTCTAGTCCCGGTTGGGGCGCTGGTTCTGTCCTGGTTGCTCCTCTTCCAGTCCAGCTCTCTGCTGTGGCCCAGGAAGGCAGTGGAGGATGGCCCAACTCCTTGGGCTCTGCACCCACATGGGAAACCAGGAGGAGGCACCTGGCTCCTGGCTCCTGGCTCCCGGCTTTGGATCAGCGCAGTATGCCGGCCATAGCAGCCATTTCGGGGGTGAGCCAACAGAGGGAAGACCTTTCTCTCTGTCTTTCTCTCTCACTGTCTAACTCTGCCTGTCAAAAAAAAAAAAAAAAAAAAAGAAAGAAAGAAAGAAAGAGAAAGAAAAATTAGAATAAGAAGAGAAAATTCAGAGCAATGTAAGATGAAGAAATAAAAAATAAAAATTATATTTTAAGAAATCAATAAGGACATAGGATAAAAGGTACTAACCTAAGTAATTTCTGAAATGAGTGATGTCTGTAAGACTTAAAGCAAAAGGAATGGGACAGAGCACTGTATTCTAGTTGATAGTGACTTCCCATGGGCTACAGCTTAGCAATTTTAATATCACTATACACATTTAGTGGAATTGAA